CAAACAACAAACAGCAAACGCAAAACAACAAACAACAACCAACAAACAACAACCTACAAACAAACAACAGCAAACAACAAACAACAAACACTAACATACCAACAACCAACAACGAGCAACAAAAAGACAACACCCACACACACACACACCAGGCCCTTCTCAGACAACATACTTTTACCAACGGATTTGGAGGCCTCATCGTGCATTTTTGTAGAATTATGGGATTCATTGTTGTCATCATGATTTTAGTGCTTGCCATGCCGCCCGACATTCATTTTGATGTTGCTTTTTGCATTTCTTGCAGTTTGTGGCATTAGTTTGTTGATTTTGTTGTTTTTGCATTTCGTGGTTGTTTGCATAATTGTTGTGTTTGCATGCTGTTTTGCTCTTTTGTGTGTGTTGCTTTTGTTTTTTGGTTTGTTTTTTGCATTTTTTGCAGGTTTTTGCACTTTTTGGCACTTTTAGCACTTTTTTTTGCACTTTTTGCATGTTTTTGCATTTTTTGCATTTTTCCACATTAGATGCAACAATAAGATAATTTGAGATAATTTGAGATATTTTGAGGTAAGGTCTAAACCCCATGGATCTGGGACCTCTAATATACTCAATGACAAGCATCGCTCTGCATGCACTGCCCGCCGAGCTCAAAATGTTCATCTACGAACGTGAACAGCAGGCCCAGCCTTGCGTCATGGACCCAGAGGCATGGGCAGTGCAGGATGCATCATCAGACGATTCAGACTCCCAGGAATCCGAGGAAGGCCAAACGCATGCAACATTGCCTGCATCATCCTCACCCGCAATCTGTTTGGCGCAGATCACGACAGGTGCCGCGCAGTGTACAGCTCGCATGAAGACCTGCAGTCCGTTTTTTGCACGGCATGCGGCCTAGGCATACATGCTCCTATGCGATGCGTAGATTACTTGGGCCAGGAGCACCTGTGCAAGCACACGGCTTGCCGGCACGCGTTTTCACTCATGCCATAACACCAACACGCACTGCTGACTGACGCACATGCATAAAAACATGCATTCCAGACCAATCGGCCGAGGTAGGCAGCAACGGGGACCGACTTCGTCCCACTTGCCAACCAGGCATCACCGGCCCGCAACTCAGAGCCTCAGGAACTAAAATTCGCTTGCGTGTACAGTGTATGTTCCAGCATCCGTTGCTTGTTCGATTCTTCAGCTTTTTTGTTGCACAAGCCGCCGCTGCTCACCGACCCAATCCCCGGTCATGGCAGATGTGGAGGCATCAAGTGACACAGCCAGCGCGCTCTGTGCCGTGCTGAGTGCTGATGCTCGCCGAGCACATTCTTGAAGACACAGGCGGGCCCAAAGCCTTGAGGACGCCGCAATACATGAACGGAGTCCCCGGCCTTTCGCCGTCGCAACGCAAAAAACTGCTGGATAGCAAAACTATTCACGATCGCGGCAGAGCCTTGTTCAGAGCAGTAGTCTCCAAAGAAAGGAGGCGTAGGCATCTGGGAACAACCGCCCTCCGCCATGTCCTGGCTGGAAGAGGCCAATTTCCAAATGCTGCGCGACCACCAATGCGCCCTGGTGTGGGTAGACGCCTGCAGGCACAATAAAGCCTTCTCCAAATCACGGGCTTTCGGCTGCAACAGCTCAGCAATCACTCATACAAGCATCAAAGCATTGCAGGCGTGAAAGAGCAAGGGGTATACCTCAGCACTCTGACCGCGGAATACCCCTTCCCTGGCCTTGCAACTTGCCCAGGTAGGCATAGGAAGGGTCAGCAAAACGGGTTCCTTCCGACAAGCGCTGCCATTGCACTCCCATTAGCGCCTTGCAGGCTTCCCACCTGCGACGGAGCAGGAATGCACTTGTCCGCAGACTGGTGCCATCCAAAGCCAGAACACCCACTGCAAGCAGTGGCCCGGCCCTGGCTGCATTGGATGCATGAGCGCAAATTGGTGCCGCGAATCGTGGCGCGCGTCAGGAATGGCTCTCCGGACTGCCCCCTCTCACCGTCCGAAAGCCTGGAAGTGGCAAATATGGCTTACACGGCTCTGCAATTGCCCTGCCCTCAAGACATGAGCCCCGAGGCAGGACAGCCGTACAGACTCCATCTGCTGCAGGCTTTGGCCAACTCTTGGGGTGACCCAGACATGGCCCTGCTGCCATTTTTGCAACACGGGGTACCGACGGGAGCCGTCCCAGCCTTGCCACCCAGCCTACAATGGCCGGCCAAAAAGCCGGAAACCGCCGTGCCGCCAGATCTGGAGATCTGTGAAGGCAACTGGAAGATGGCCGAGGACGAACCAGAGACAGTGCAAAGCCTGCTGCGCAATGAAATGGCCAACAACTGGATTGTAGAAACCGGCCTTAGCATTGCCGAGGCTCGTGAAAAATTAGGTATAGCCGTAGGCGAATTAAATGTAGTTTTTGCGCCTTGTCCTGGACAGCACCGTGTGCCAAGTGAACACAAGATGCCATCTGCCAGAGCGCCTCAGCCTGCCAATGGCATCGGACCTGGCGCTGTCCACACAACCGGAGGACACTCCATGGGCGCAAGCATTGACTTCAAAGCCGCACACAAACAGGTGCAGGTCCGCCCTGAAGAGCATGGCCTTCTGCTGTTCGCCTTTCAGGGGAAACTCTACCATTATAGAGTGTGCCGTTTTGGCGTTTCTCGGCATTCTGGTGGCAGCGCACTGGCGCTACTTCGCCAAGTGCATGGGTTATTGGCTTGGAAGCCCCACAAAGCCTTCCTTTTCGTAGACGACCTTCTGTGCGCACTCGTCCGAGATAGCGCTCCAGAGATGTTCGCCTTAGTGGTGCTGTTCTTCTGCGCCATTGCTGCGCCAATTTCGTGGAAAAAGGCGCAGTTCCAGGACAGCCTTATTTGGTGTGGCTGGGAGATCAACTTCTCATTCAGCTCGTGTCCGCTAAACTGACGAAGCTGGACGCCTTGATCAAAGCACTGCTGGGAAGCAAACGGGTACTCCGAAAAACATTTGAGCAGTGCATAGGCCTGCTCATTTGGGCCACCAGCATTGCACTGCATCTCAGATCTTGGCTAGCGCCGCTATACTCTGATCTCAACAGCCCACCAGGCTCAATGCACTCAATACCACCTCAAATGTGGTCAGCCTTCAGAGCATCCTTGAACAAGGATCTCAAAACAAGCATAGCCTTCCCAGCCTGTGAGTGGGCTGCAAAATTTTGGAAATTTCGGGCCGCGCCATACACTGCCCTCAGGACATCCCGCGTGTGCCGGGCACAAGCAAACCTACGTGGGTACGTACTAGCCATTCCAAGTCAAGCCAGCAATGCCTTACATGGCTGGCTTCGTGCTTCCAGCGCTCGCCAGTTCAGCCCTTGGCACGGCCACGCCAGCTGCAAGCACTGGCAGCCGCGGATGCGTGTGCCGAAGACGACTTGGTAGGGATAGGGGGTGCCGAAACCTGGAACATGCAGGACATACGGGCAGTATGGCCTTGCCTTGTCAAGCCTGGACAGCGGTGCGTCGCATGCTTCGAGACGCTGGCGCAGTTGGCACTGTTGCAAGCTACCCACAGCCATATTGGTGGTGGGCACTACTCGTTCAGCATGCCTTCAGGCACTGACAATTCGGCGATAGCCAACCTCGCCCTGGCAACCAGAATACCTGGCTGCGTCGGCCAGCAGCTTGACATCAAGCCGCTCTGACTAAAAAAGAGCGGTCCCTGAGCAACAGGATGCTCGCAACCAAGCGCGCGGACACTTGCCCTGCCAGGTACAACCCCACTCTAAAGGGGGGGTGATGAGGCCGGCGGCCCAGCTGGCTCGCTTATTGAAACACTGAAGGGGGGTCAACGCACCTCCTGCTCCAGGCGCACCCGTGCCCTGGAAGCAGTGCTACTTTCAGCAATCCCGGTAAAAAGAACTGCGGCCGCTTCGGACTTGCATTGTTCTTTTGGGTGGTCTTATTTGGGTTCAAGCTAGGAGCAGTGCAACATGCTTTAACACACGTGTTTCAGCGTGACATAGCGGACAGCAATAGGCGACAGCACAGCTTTAGTGAGCCAGCGAGCCATTACTCCAGCGTCAGCAAGCAAACAAGACAAGCAAACAAGAAGGCACGCAGGCAAGCAGACAAGCCGGCAAGCGTGCAGGGCAGGCAAAAAGAGCAAACTACTGCAAACCAACCAACCAACAAACAGGCTAAAATTTGTTGACCAAATTTCTCAGAGTGCCACCGTATTGAAGAATATAGCAGTATTTCCATCCAATGCGCTTCGATTTGGTTTTGGACAAGGTATCGTTTGCCTTCAGCCATGCCTTATGATGGCCCCATTTGTGTTTAAGCTTTTGCTGACATCGGCAATGCCCTGTCTTGCGTGCATTGAACACATCGAAATTCAATGCATGTTGCTAGCCCTGGTGGCAACGCAGTTAATGCTACTTGCGAAGCAACAGGGGAACGTGGTGTAACACTTTCATAGCCTCGTTTTCGCTAGACTGTGGTGGCACAAGCACAGGCGGATCAGTGTTGGTTGAATGTGATCCGCAGTGTTTTTCACATAGCATCAAAACCGACCTAATTATTGTCAATCAACTCATGAGTCTTGCGTGAATTCAGTCAGATTCTCAGAAAGCAGCAGCGCACAGCAACATGCAAACAACATTACAGGACCTTGCTTTCGGGAATCACTCTTGGTGCTGCCCGTCAAAGAGTCGCATTGACTCATTGACCGTGGCGCAAGTGCCCAAACTGCACAAATGTGTAAGGGATACCCTCATCATGCATAATACACCCTGACAGAGTGTTTGCAATTGGCGTTTTTTGACACAGAATCGAAGCAAATAGAAACAAACAGGACATACTCATTGTAAGATTCGAATTTGTATTTTTCCGAACGTTGGCAGCACGATTTCGGACCAAACACAGGGTGACGTGGCCAGGCCAAACATTTTACTTACATTTACATCATTTGGACAGCGCTGCTTTTGTTTATGTCAGCTTGAACCCCCGAACCATCTTTTTGCATTGCGAGCAATTGCCCCTTCAAACAGCCTGGCCCTTGATGCACTGCAATGCAGGATGGCTGGGAGGACTCTGTGCCGTTGGTTCGCACTAGAGCTGCAAACGCAAGCGCCGCGAGCGCCGCGAGCGCCGGCTGCGCGGGCAAAGACTTGAATTTATTGACTGCCTCCTACCCCTGGCGAGTCGATTCGGAGGATCTATGGGCCTGGCGCAAGCGTGCGGTGGGCTTGATGAAGCAAATGCGGAAGGGGCCAGAGAAGGAGCAGCTGGACATTGGCACTGACATGGTGCGCTTGATTTCTGCACAAGAGGAAGTGGAAGAGATCATAAAGTTTAGGCTTTCCAGATCAGGTATCCGCCCAAGCGAGCTTCCCAAGAAGAGAAGAACGGCATCAAGTGCGCCAATCAGAGGTGCAGCGGTCAACAACCTGACAGGCCAGCCTGAACAGAATGAATACATAGACGAGCTGCTGGCAGAATCGGCACTTCCTTCGGGACATGAAGTTCCAGAGCAGCCTGCGCGAAAGCGTCGGCTTTGGACATATGAACAATTTGAGCAAATCGAGCCGGGTGCAGCTGAGGCGGAGAGGGAACTTGATGAGGAGAGGCAAGATGAGGAGGAAGAAGATCATTTTGAGGAGGAGGAAGAAGATCATTTTGAGGAGGAGGAGGAAGATGAGCAGGAGAAGGAGGACGAGGAGCGAATCCGCAGCGAGAATGAGGAAGGCGCTCGCTCCGAAGCCAATGCCCAGCTTGCAATTGAAGAAGAAGAAGCAAATTTGCCGACGTACAAAGAGCTGTTGCTAGATCGTTGGCGGCAATGCAGTGGCACGGCCAGTGGATCCTTGTTGCTGAACGTCTCCCAGACCATCGTTTGGAAGAGGGTCGGCCACCAACGAGTAAATACCGTGCTTGGCAGCCCTCACAAGAGGTGGCTCAACAAGATCATGTCTCGATACTGCGAGAACTATCCCTCCAGCCAGCGGTCCGAGCGCGAGTGCGTCACGCCATGCCTCAAAGGCATTCCTGAGGACGTGGAGCGGGTGGGTCAGGAGGAGGTGGTACTCACTGTGGTGCTGTGCGAGCCCAAAAACGGCTGCAAGGACCAGGAGTATGACGTCCTGGCGAGCCAAACGCTGCATGAGCTGAAGGACGCATTTTACTTCCTGACGGACTGGATGCACGATGGCCCCACGCGCTTGGACTCCGGGTGCATGTACATCGACGGCGCGTTTTACTCAGACATGAGGCACGAGTCCTCGGTCGATTATGCGGAGAACCTCATCGACTGGATCAGGTCTTTGGGGCACATGAAACTGAGAGAGGAGCCGTCTCGCAGTATGGCGACTCGTCTCTGCGATCTCCAGATTCCATTCGGAGAGCAATGCTGCTACATTAGCCAAGGGGACGTGGAGCATCACATGTACTTCACAGGTGCACGTTTGGTGAACTTTGGCTGCGAATGCCCCCTGCGCGAAGCTTACCCGTGTTTGATCTACATGCGAAAGTTTCAAAAGCAGTACTGTATGGTATGCACCCAGAACTTGGCGCTTTGGTCCGTGCACGGGTCTTCCAAATGCCCCTTCGACCCTTGTATGTTCTGTCACCTTTGCTTCCAGCACTTCTTTCAGGACAAGGATGGCGAGTTGATCCCACCAGTGGACTTCAAAGTATTTCCACATCTCCACGAGCCATGAAGTGGACGCGCCAGCGGGCTAAAAGGGAGTGCAACATGGACCCACATGGCTCGGTTTCCACTTAGTTTCCCGATATATATATATATATATATATTTATTTATTTACACGCTGACGCGACACAGCCGGCCACCAGACACCCCTTCCCGTTCTTTCATCTCCTTTCCCTCTAAGTTTCCTGGCATGTCCCTTCACTTCCTTCCACTTACTTCACTGCCGCTTCAGCTCCCTTCATTTCCTTGAAGACTCCTTCATTCGCATTCCTTTCCCTTTTCGTCCTTGCATTTTCCTGCAGCTTGGTTTCTCTCCAGCGCCCTCTTCATTTTCGTGCAATGCCTTTGACTTGCATTTCGTTCACTTCCAGTCACTCCTGTTTCCTTTCAGCCCCTTGTTTCGCATCGCCAGCATGCATAGCATCATCCGCATCATCCGGGATGATGCTGGCAATGCTGGGGGTGTTGTCCAGTATTAGGCACCCCCCAAAAATACTCGTTTTTGGATGCTGCGGGGAGATGCTACAAAAATCGCCTAAACCAATCCGCAAATCCTTCGCCCCTTATAAGGGAGGGCCCAGCATAAAACGTATGCGCATGTTCTGCGCATGGTCCGCGCATGGTCGGCGGCATGGGGCGCGCGGCCTTATACCTGAAGGTAAGCCCTACCGGGCTTTGGCCTGCGGCCCGATCACGTCCGGTGGCCGGATTTAGCAGGCTGACGCCTGATGCCGCCGACCCCCGTAACAGCATCACACACGTTGGAGAAACTCTGGCCCTTCTCCGTCTCTCAGCAGGATTGGCGCCAAGGTCTCGCATGCTGGGGATGCGGGGGCTGCCTTTTTGGTCTTCGAATGTTGGGAAAAAAGGCAGCTTTTGCATCCCCCGCTTCACCAGCATCATCCTGCAGGTGCCCGGGGTGATGCTTTGCTTGCTGGGGATGCAGGAACTGCCTTTTTGGTCTTCGAATGTCGGGAAAAAAGGCAGCTTTTGCATCCCCCGCTTCACCGGCATCATCCTGCAGGTGTCTGGGGTGATGCCTGGCATGCTGGGGATGCGGAAGCTGCTTTTTGGTCTGGGACGGAGAAGAGCCGGGCTTTCTCTCAGCGATAACAAGGGCCGGATGTTTCTCCAACGTCTGGCTTCATGCGGGGATGATGAGGCTGATGATGATGCTGGATGACGAGGCCGATGATGGCGCCGCTGATGATAATGATGATGAGGAGGATGACGATGATGCTGCTCAACTTGATGAATGAGGACGATGCACCATCATCATCGTCATCACCATGTCGTCATCATCATCCATCATATCATCCTCAGCCTCAGTAGCATCATCATCCTCAGCCTCATCATCCAGCATCAGCACCATCGTCCTCATCATCCTCCTGATCATCATCATCATCCTCGTCACCATCATCATCATCATCATCGTCATCATCATCAGCGGCGTCATCATCATCATCGGCATCACCATCATCATCATCAGCATCATCATCAAAATCATCAGCATCATCATCATCATCGTCATCTTCCCGTAGTCTTCCGTCATCTTCCCGCAGTCTTCCGTCATCTTCCCATCAGCTTCCCGTAGTCTTCCGTCAGCTTCCCATAGTCTTCCGTCCTCTTCCCGTAGTCTTCCCGCAGTCTTCCGTCATCTTCCCGTAGTCTTCCGTCATCTTCCCATCATCTCCCGTAGTCTTCCGTCATCTTCCCGCAGTCTTCCGTCATCTTCCCGCAGTCCCGTAGTCTTCCGTCATCTTCCCGCAGTCTTCTGTCAGCTTCCCGTCATCTTCACGTAGTCTTCCGTCATCTTCCGGTAGTCTTCCGTCATCTTCCCGTAGTCCTCCGTCATCTTCCCGCAGTCTTCCGTCAGCTTCCCGTCATCTTCCCGTACTCTTCCGTCATCTTCCCGTAGTCTTCCGGCATCTTCCCGCAGTCTTCCGTCATCTTCCCGTCAGCTTCCCGTACTCTTCCGTCATCTTCCCGTAGTCTTCTGTCAACTTCCCGTCATCTTTTTCGTAGTCTTCCGTCATCTTCCTAGTCTTTCATCATCATCATCCATCCTCACGCTTAGAGGTGAAAGTTAGAGGTTAGGGTTAGAGGTTAGGGTTAGAGGTTAGGGTTAGAGGTTAAGGTCAGAGGTTAGGGTTAGAGGTTAAGGTTAGAGGTTAGGGTTAAAGGTTAGGGTTAGAGGTTAGGGTTAGAGGTTAGGGTTAGAGGCTAGGGTTAGAGGTTAGGGTTAGAGGTTAGGGTTAGAGTAGGGTCATCTTCCGGTAGTCTTCCGTCATCTTCCCGTCATCTTCCCGTAGTCTTCCGTCATCTTCCCGTAGTCTTCCGTCATCTTCCCGTAGTCTTCCGTCAGCTTCCGTCGTCTTCCCGTAGTCTTCCGTCATTATCCTCTCCTTGTCTTCCGTCGTCTCCCGCAGTCTTCCGTCATCTTCCCGTAGTCTTCTGTCAGCTTCCCGTCATCTTCCCGTAGTCTTCCGTCATCTTCCTAGTCTTTCATCATCATTATTCATCCTCACGGTTAAAGGTTAAAGTTAGAGGTTAGGGTTAGAGGTTAGGGTTAGAGGTTAGGGTTAGAGGTTAGGGTTAGAGGTTAGGGTTAAAGGTTAGGGTTAGAGGTTAGGGTTAGAGGTTAGGGTTAGAGGTTAGGGTTAGAGGTTAGGGTTAGAGGTTTGGGTTAGAGGTTAGGGTTAGAGGTTTAGAGGTTAGGGTTAGAGGTTAGGGTTAGAGGTTAGGTTAGAGGTTAGGGTTAGAGGTTAGGGTTAGAGGTTAGGGTTAGAGGTTAGGGTTAGAGGTTAGGGTTAGAGGTTAGGGTTAGAGGTTAGGGTTAGAGGTTAGGGTTAGAGGTTAGGCGTGTCAAAAATCTGCTGCGGGACCCCCCCTCCCCCCCTCAGACTCCCCCTAACCACCACTTAGAACACGCCTCGCCCCTTTGCAGAGACTAACTTTGCTTTTGCAAAGGGGTCGGCGGATTTGTTTTTTTAAGCAAAACAAAGAAACACATTGAACACCAAGCACAAACAAAATCCGGAACCACACCCAAAAGCGAACAAAACAAAAGGGGACAGGAATTCAGGAAAGGAACCACACCCAAAAGTTTGGATTCACTCTCAGCGATTGGACCGTTTCGGGCGATGGTTGGACCGTTTCGGGCCCTTGGGAGGTTCCATGTTTTTCCCTGGCAGAGCCAATGTCTGTCAATATGCGAGTTGTGTTGGCAGGGAAAGCTCGCAGCGTTCCAGCGTGGCCAGTGATTGCAGTTTGGCTAGCCAAAGGGATCCGGACCGCATTTCCCACAGTGCTAATGCGCCCCATCCGCAGTTAGATGAATGTGGGTGGCGCGTTTGCAGCATGCAGTTTGCAGCATGCAGTTTGCATGGGGTTTGCAGCAGGGTTGCAAGGTTGTCACATGGCTACGAATGTTCAATGGCAATGCCCTCCAACACGAATCCATGTACATGACGTCCACCAACCCAAATGCCATGCTAAACTGTTGTGTGCGTGTAGCTAAGGACTGGGTTCCAGGACATGTTTGCCTTTTGGCCGCTGCCGGGAAGCTGACTGTGACGTATGTCGTCGACGGCTATACTTGCCGCAAACATCTTGATCCGTGGTCGGAGCAGATCCGCCTAACAGAGCTGCCAGAGGAGCCTTGGGCTGGGGCATCAACGTTTTGAGGGGTTCCCAAAGTTGTTTTTGGGACCCGATGGTTTCCTTTGCCACCCTTTAGCTTGGGTAAAGTTGAGGATGTCACCTTGGATCCAGGTGGTACTTTTGTTTTCTTTCTCGGTGTTGCACTAGTCCACCCGCAAGCCACTTCAACAACTTCGGCGCTTTCCAAGGCAGATCCGGAAATCGGGCTGGGGCAGGCCTATCGATTTGTCTTTGGCCAAATTTTCATCGAGCCTTGGCAGAGATCCGGCCGTGAAGAGCGATCGACATGGCCATGGGGCATAGCCTATGGCTCCATTTTGGGGTGGATGAACATCCATTTGCCACCTATTTTGATGTTCACCAGGGGTACAGAGTTTTGACCCATACCCATATTCCACATGTTTGTGACTCAACGGCATGGAAGCACGGGGACGGCCGGTTTGCTTAGAACCTTTGGTCGCATAGGTGCTTTGTGTGCATTGATGCTCCGAGAACATACCGGCTTGCTTGCCAAATGCAAACTTGTGGATCCTTTGGGCAAGAGAGAACTTGTGCACACCGCTGAAATCATTTTTGCAGGTTTGTTGTTCACTTCTCTCGGCAACGGTGCCTGGTGCGAGGATGCAAAGCAGTTTCCTAGGCATCATCATGTAGCTGCGCCCCCAATGTGGGCGTTGTTGCTCTTCATGTCAGTGTTCTTGCTGCTCTTGCTGTTATTTTTGTTGCGGAAGGAGTCTTTCCAGCAAGCCATTTGACACGTTTGCATTAGGCAAGCAAGCCAGTATGTTCTCGGAGCATCCATATGCACAGCGTATCGAAGCGGGACAGAGGTTCCACCTTGTCCAGGGCGTACAACAGTCAGAGGCTCCATGCCAAAGAAGCGGGGGGTGGAGTTCCTAGCGGAGCAGACCAGCAGCAGCAGCAGCAGCGGCGCATTGCACGGAGCTCTGCATTATGCCGTTTGCAGGGCAATGTTTCACTGTTGCCAGCCAAGGAGCCGTACTCATTGCAGCAGGCTTTGGAGACTGCGCGTCGCCTGGAACAGCAGCAGCACGTGCTGTGCTGCCACGAGGCTTCCGTGCTAAAGGCGCAGCTCAGACATGTGATGACAGCATCATGTGGCTCAGAAGTGATTGGTGGCATGGAATCCCCACCAAAATGATGTCCACCAAAGGGTCCCCCATCAAATTCGCCCCATATGAGCATGGCTAGCGGGCTTTTCAAGCGTGACGGATGTCCACGTGTAGACATACACTGGCACAGGCACGGAAGCTTCACGATGAAGCGGAGAGGCTTGTGGGGGGTGGTGTTTATGGTGAGGGTGGGCTGATGTACTGGAAGCTGCGGTTTCAGAGTTTATGGCAAA